TACAAGTTGCAATATCTACTGCACCGTAAAATCACCGATGAGGAACCGCATAAACGAAATGGACCTGTTCAATGCACAAACTGCCAGGAATATGGGCACACAAAAACCTATTGCACCCTACGCGCAGTCTGTGTTGCCTGCGGGGATGTACTTCTCAATGAGCCCTGCCCTGTAAAAAATGCTAAAAAATGTAGCAAGTGTGGGGGAAACCACACTGCCGACTATAGAGGCTGCCCTGTATACAAAGAGTTAAAAAGTCGCCTAAGTCGACAAAAATCCGCATCTCGAAATCCAATCATCCGACAAAACTTGCCATACATACCATCAACTACGATTCCAGGAGTATCTTTTGGTAAGGCGTTAAGTTACGCCAACGAGTCGTACGCCTCAGTCTCTAAACTAACCAGGAATAATGAATCGTCAGACACCGCAACCGGGGCCAGAAACTACTGCCCAACATACCAGTGCAAATCCATATCAATTGCCTAGTGGAATTGAATCAATTCTAGCAACTCAAATAAATACAATGGTAGCAATACAACAAACGATGCAGGAAATTATGCGCAATCAAAATCTCCTCCTGGAATTACTACTCAAACAGAAATTAACTTAAATGGCTTCACTAAAAAAGTGTGTCAGGCATGCGAATGGCATTTCACAGCACAAATGCGAGCTCTTGCAGTTCTTCAAAAACATGACATTGACATCAGAGACTCACCTAAAAAACAAAAATTATTTTCATCTCAATGGCTACAACTTCTATGCGACCAATCATCCCAAAAGTAAGGCTCATGGAGGTACTGGCATCCTGATAACCAGACTTGATTGATTTTGCTGTTACAAGAATAGTGCCAGATGTGTGTGGAGCACTTAACAGATCTATCATCGAATCACTCGCCAATCCTTCTTCACCTTTATGACCATCCACATTTCTCGGAGCGTCCACACTTTCTAACTTCTAGAATTGGATTGGCTTATATACAGGAAGTACGTATGTTCCCATATTAATGGCTGCCCAAACATTAACTGCAAAGATGACATAGATACCTCTGTTGAAGCACTAGTGTTTGTAATGTCACTAACGGCAAAACATTCCACTCCAGAAATCACAGCATATAAACTTTACAAAAGCAGTCATGTTCCCAGGCATATTGAAGAGCTGCTACGAAAAAAAAAACCTGACTCAAAGGGGCGATTAAAAATAGCCAACCATCTACTACGCAAAGCCCTAGAAGATGAGAAACACCGAGCTCAAATGGACTATAATTGTCGCTCATTTATAAAAAGCCTACAAACGACATCCAGCAACAAATAGCTTTGTGCTCCCACTAACCAATCATCTTGAAGCTACCACGCCTATGGTATTCCAAGCAGGAGAAGTTACAAGTGTCGTTAAGGGCCAAGTTTCAAAGCGCCGGTCCACGATTTGATTTCCCCCAAAATGATAATTGAATTGCCGACCTGTGCAGTATATTTTCTCACCATCATTTTCAACAGCATGATGAAATGGAGCTCAACAATGGAGAAAATCTGTCATCACAATGATCCATAAAGCCGGAAAGGACAAGTCTTAGCCATCATCATATACACCTATCAGTCTCCTGCCGTGTCTATCGAAGATATTCGAAAAACTACTCCTGAATCGCACCAACCAGCACCTACATAGCAACAGTCACCAATAATCACCAATTTGGTTTTCGCGAAAAACATGGAACCATTGAACAAGTCAACCGAATAACCTCTGCGACACGAAATGCATTTGAAAAATGAGAGTATTGCTTCGGTGTTTTTCTGGATGTCGCCCAAACCTTTGACCGCGATTGGCTGGATGGCTTAGTTCACAAAATCAAAATATTACTTCCACAGAATATCCATAAAATTCTGGAGTCATACCTACAGCAAAGAAGTTTGGCAGTTAGATGCACAGATTTCATCTCCGAATACCATCCAATTGAAGCTGGTGTGCCCCAAGGGAGCGTGCTTGGACCGACACTGTATATCATATACACAGCAGATATACCGACAAACAGTCATACAACAATTTCGACATTTGCTGATGATACTGCCATCCTAAGTCGCTCCAAGTGCCCAACAAGAGCTACAGAACTCTTATCATCTCACCTCGTGGCCATAGAAAAATGGCTAGCAGACTGGCGCATACATGTAAACGAGCAAAAGTGCAAACATGTCACCTTTACCCTTAATAAACAAACTTGTGTTCCATTGTCGCTAAACAACATCAATATTCCACAAAAAAACGATGTAACTTACCTTGGTGTCCATTTGGATAGACGGCTTACTTGGCGCAAACACATCCAAGCGAAGAGGGATCAACAGAAACTAAAAGCTATTAATCTACATTGGCTTATAAACGTCCGTTCACCACTAAAACTGGAGTACTTTTGTACAGTGCAGTTCTCAAACTAATTTGGACATATGGCTCTGAACTATGGGGAAACGCGTCGATTAGTAATTTAGAATTAATCGAAGATACCTGGGCACCCAGGTATATACGGAGTGAAAATATCCAGAAAGATTTAAATGTGAGATCTGTTAAAGATGAAATAGCCAAGGTAAAAGTAAAGTACCAGCTTAAGCTTCGGAACCATCCAAATATATTTGCGCAGAATTTAACTTAGCAGGCTAGCCATATACGACTCCGACGAATAGACCTCCCCACCCAGGAATAACAGATGGAGCTGAAAATGTAACAGTCAGAGACGAGTCGATCTAGCCCTGTCTGTCTGTCCGTATGAACACCTGGATCTCAGAGACTATAAGAGGTAGAGACACCAAACTTTGCACAAAGATGCGTTATGTGTGTACGCTGTGCAAGTTTGTTTTATTTTTTTGATTTCCCCCCCCCCACTTCCCCCCTATGGGGGTTTTCCCGATTTTCCATTCGTATAATCGCCTATATCTCGGAGACTATAGACCTACGGACACCAAATTTTAGAATGCCTTATGTGAATCCCTCCCCCCTCTCCCATGCGAATCGCGATTTTCTCTAACTCCCCTAACTCCCCGAACTAAAATTTTGTAAATACCCCCAGTTAGTTATTATGTGTCCGTACGCCAAGTTTTACCATGATAGACCGATTAAACAAGAAGTTATAGCCATAAATATATTTGCTGCTGCAGCGCTGCTCAAGCGCTGCCCGCGGCTGTTGTTGATGCTGGTGCTTTGGTTGACTGCGAACATGCTTACACAGACACGAATAGACGCGCATAAACATACATACACTGACATAGACGCAATTGCTTTGTATATATGCAATTATACACCCTTTACGTGAGTTCAAATACCAAAAGAGGTAAAATCGATCAAAATATTTTTTTTAATTCTCTTACTTTTTTTAATTTCTATATTTATTCTAAACATAAGTATGTACAGAGTATTTCAAAGTCGGGACACCCGACTTTAGCTTTTTTAATTGTTTTTTTTTTTTTAATTTTCAGGAGCTTTGGTATTCTGCATTTGAAGTAATTCCTTGTACAGACCGCACGCACGCTTCGGCAGCTGTTTCTCTTTAATTTTGGCGGTTGAGTCGGGTGAATTGAACGCAAGCCTCAATAGAATTCGCTTTCCAGCTGCTGTAATCACAGAAGTAGTGGGATGTCTTTTAATATTGTTCAATACCTATACTCATTACTTAAAAATGAGGAAATAACTACGGTTGAGTTTAGTTACCTTTGATATTTTAAGAATCGAGTGACCACACACGCCTAATTTTTGCCTTTTCTGTATCATTCAACGCTTTAGCTTTCCCTATATTAACTCAGTTGAATTGAAAATTGATTAAATTTATTATCGCAAAAATTAACACTGAAATTAAAGCGTGGTTTTTCCTTCCAGTTTAAAGAAAACAGCAAAGAAAAATAACGGTACACTTTCATAGCACAACAGTTTTTGTTTTAGGAGTGTAAATAAAGAAGAATAATATTCAGTTATATAATAATATAGAATAATATTCAGCACTGAAAGCTTACAGAGAGTGCTAATCGGTTGACGAAGCTATAGAGATGAAGAAGAGGAGGAGAGTGTCGAGCACCTTCTCTGTCACTGCCCAGCAATCAGTAGTCGCAGGCTCTTTTCTCTGGGAAAACTATTCTTTAATCATCGCTCAGAGCTGGTAAACATCGAATATGCGATGGCTACAGTAGCGAGGAAAAGGCAAAAAGAGATTATATGGTATCACAATGGGCCTTTAGGGCCTAAGTGAGCGGGTATATAACAATTACTCCAGCCTTTCTAACCTGACCTAACCTAAGCAGAGGAACTTTGCCAGCAGTCCTGTGGGATAGATTTACGCTTACTTTTCGTGGTCCAACGGTTCACGATGACACAACACTCACAATTTCACTTGAAATCGTTCTGATAGGCATGAACAGGTCGCGGTCAGCTAATGCAAAGATGTCGATCACTATTAAAGTATTTCTTTATGTTCCTCGTGTTTCGATGGTTTGTCTAGTTTTAGAGCATTCGTTACAAACTTTTCACCATCCCATTGATCTGAAAATGAATTTGTACGTTTTATAGGAAAATATTGGTATAACATCCCTTCAAAGATTTGTCAAAAGTTGATATCCTTTATGTATGCAGGAATCGAAAAAATCATCAAGAATAACGCGGATATTCAGGGTATGGAGTGTGCTCTAATCAACTCAATGCAATACGAGACCATAAATTAAAAAATATCAATATTTTTTACAAAATATTTCATGTTTTTATGAAGTTGTCTTATTTAAATGGTTTTTTTTTTGCATTATTATTATGTGAAACGTATGCATGTTTTGATATGAAATTAATTCAATGTCCTTAAAAGTATAAATATGTTTGTGCAATCATAACCCACAAATAAAAATAAGTCATTGAAAGTTGCACTATCGAGAAAAAAGGAGCCGTACTAATTAATATGGGTAGGGCTCGTATGTACCTATAGCATGTCTGTCAGGCCTCTTTCTTACAAAAAATAGCTATAATAAGGACCGTTGTAAAATTATGGTAATAATATTTTATTTACGGTACAATTAAAGAAATGATTGTTTTTTAAAACCGATCTTTCGATGTAGCACAATATTCAAGCTCGTTCAAATTTTGAATATCCTGTAGCTCCTGGAACTTCTCATGGTCTCGTATATGTGCGTAGTTAGCAGAAAGACACATGAGGTAATGCACAAGGCTGAGTATTACCAGCAAACTTGAGAGGGTAGCCAAAATAAACATAACTTCAGCATTCTCAACACCATCTTTGCAAAATGCTTTTATTTCGTACTTCTCGCATATTTTCATGTCCTCCAGTTTTGTATTCGGTGGAAACATAAAATCTATAGTTTAAGTAAATAAGAATTATTAGACTTTGTATTAATTAGATAAGCTTACGAAATTGTGTTAAGTCAATGCAGCTTAGCGAATGCTCCACACTTGAACACATGTTCCAGAAGCATGTGTAAGTAAAAGTCACAATAACCAGAAAACATAAGATGAGAGTCCAGATAAAGTTGAGAAAGTATGTAATGCCCATAAGTACAGCACACGATATACGTCCTCCTACTCTAGATCGCCAAGCTCTGTAGACTTTATAACGTGTAGCTCCCGTAGCTAGAAACCCAACAAAAAGTATCATAAAGCCAAGAGCAGCCATTCCGACAGCAATTATAATAAATATCATCTGCACAGCTTCGATCCTAAAAAGAATTTGGTTATGGCATTGATTATAATTGTTGGAAAAAATAAAAATGAAACCAACCATATAAGTCGTAGATGAAATACTTGATCCATCATTATCACTGTTAGTGAAGCGCCGCGATACATAGTCCCACAAAAAATGCCTACACCAAGTACACACATAAGTGTAGCTATCAAAGTAGCATACGGAATCCGCGCCATGCATGACTGCATATAGTCACCTAAAAGATCGTTAATATGGAGAACTAAGTTATAGTTATATACTCGTAGAAGCATTCAATTACTTAAAATAAAACAAGTATAAAAGCTAAAGTCGGGTGTCCCGACTTTGAAATACTCTGTACATATGTTAACAATAATTATAGAAAATAAAAAAAACTAACAAAATTAAAAAAAAAATTTTTGATCGATTTTACCTTTCTCGGTATTCAAACTCACGTAAATGGTGTATAATTGCACATTTACATAACAATTGCGTCTGTGTGAGTGTATGTATGCCTATGCGCATCTATTCGTGTCTGTGTAAACATGTGTGAGGTCAACCAAAGTACCAGCATCAACAACAGCCGCGGGCAGCGCTTGAGCAGCGCTGGAGCAGCAAATATATTTATGGCTATAACTTCTTGTTAAATCGGTCTATCATGATGAAACTTGGCGTACGGACACATAATTACTAACTGGGGGTATTTACAAAATTTTAGTTCGAAATTCCAAGAATTACGGGAGTTTGCGGGGGAGAGGGTGGGAAATTCCAAAATACGCATTTCCTGCGTATTCACACAAGGCATCTTGGACTAAAATTTGGTGTTCCTAGGTCTTATAGTCTCCGCGATATAGGCGATTATACGAATGGAAAATCGGGAAAACCCCCATAGGGGGGAAGTGGGGGGGGGGGGGGGGAACAAAAAAATAAAACAAACTCGTATGGAATACACACATAAGGCATCTTTGTGCAAAATTTGGTGTCTCTATCTCTTATAGTCTCTGAGATCCAGGTGTTCATATGGACGGACAGACAGACAGACATGGCTAGATCGACTCGTCTCGTCATGCTGATCAAGAATACATATACTTTGTGGGGTCTGCCACGCCTCCTTCTGCCTGTTACATTTTTCAGCTCCCGCAAATTTCATTACATTTCATGTACAGAGTATAACAAGATAGGTAAGCTAGATTTGAGCAGGCCCAACAATTTTTTTTCAAATTTTGCTTTATGTACACAGCTGGACAGTAAAATAGGTGAGCATATTTAAAACACAAAGCTTGGTGTTTATATATATTTAAATTTTTTTCGAGGAATAGGTTAGTTTTGAAAATAAACATACTTCAGCGACAAAACAAGTAATAAAAGGCTTTACCAACTATAAACAAAAGAGAACGCCACAGTCGAACAAGCAATCGTTAATACAGACAGTCAGACGGACGGACAGAGAAACAAACGGACATGGGTATATCGACTCGGCTTGTCACCCTGATCAAGAATATATACACTTTGTGCGCTCTGCCACGCCTCCTTCTGTCTGTTACATACATTCGCACAAAACTAGTATACCTTTTCAGCCTTTGGGTACATGGTATAAAAATAAGTAAGCCTTTAGTTAATACATAAAATACAAATGTTTTCGGATGGACAGAATAATAGATGTGTCGAACAAAAAGAGTAATGAATATTGAATTCTTGTTATTTATTTACTGAATTGATTAGAGCACACTTAATACCCTGAATATCTTCCATTATTCTTAATATATCTTCGATTCCTGCAGACATAAAGGATACCAACTTCTGACAAATATTTACAGGAACGTAAAAAATGTATATGCCAGAATTCCCCTCCTTCCTGAGTGGGGACTCACACGCGATTGTACATGAAATGTACAAAAGTATCATCGGGGGCCACAGAAAATTACGGCAGTTTCGGCTATACTTGTTTTTGAAAACTCTGAAAAAATACGTTGGTGCCACAGTACTTCGAAAGATTTAATTTTTTGGAACTTCCTCTCCAATGCAGCTGTGAGACACAGCTGACTGTCGACGCTTACATTTGACTATTCCTATATAAAACATGTAAAGCACTCAGCTGTCAGCAACAGCTGACTGACGACGATTACATCTGTCTGACTAATTGTGCTTAAATTCTGTAACATACTAAGTTAAATAAAAAACAAATATGTCATTTGCTTTAGTATTTGTTATCCCGCGAGCATTTTCGGAAACGCCAATTAATTATTGAAACAAGAGAAAACGCTACAGTCGAGCAAGCCCGACAGTGTAATACCCTGTACCCAGGTAAACTTCCGTCACTGAGTAATATGCGCCCATAGCATCAGCAAAAATAGGAAGAAGAAGAGCGAACTTGTTGCTGCAGTTTGGTGGGGTTGTACTGGCGAGAATTTGTTTCGCTAATAACTTTTCTTAGAATCGACCGAATTGGATAAAATTAGTAGATAATTATATATAAATTATGTGTGCAAAGTTTGGTTTAGGTAGCATTTGAAATGTGGACGCTATTGACGAAATTCTGTAGCGGGGGAAGGGGGGCGAAATTCCAAAAAATAAAATAAACTCGTCCTTTCTCGGACCTAGGAGAATCTGGATACCAACTTTGGTTATTCTAGCTCTTATAGTTTCTGAGATCCTTGCGTTCATCCAGGCGGACGGACAGACCGACGGACGGACATGTCTAGATCGATTTCTCTCGTCATGATGATTCAGAATATATATACTTTATGGGGTCGGAGATGCTTCCTTCTGTATATTACATACTTTGCACAAACCTAATATACCATTTTTACCCTACGGGTACAGGGTATAACAACTACCCTGTAAAAGAATTATATGTGCAAAAATTGTTGTCCTTGTTCCTCATTGAAAAATAACGGTACTCTCTTTTTTGGTATGCAGTTTTTATACCCTGTACCCAAAGGGTGAAAGGGTATACTAGTTTAGTGCGAATGTATGTTACAGGCAGAAGGAGGCGTGGCAGACCCAATAAAGTATATATTGATCAGGATGACAAGCCGAGTGGATATAGCCATGTCCGTCTGTTCGTCCGTCAGTCTGTCCGTCTGTCTGTATGAGCGCTGGGATCTCAGAAGCTACAAGAGCTAGAGTGACCAAACTTGGTATCCAGGTTCCCCTGAGCCCTAGGCGAGTCAAGTTTATTTTTTTTATTCTGATACATCCCCCACTGCCCCGCAATTTGTATTTTTTCCATAGCTCCCGTAATTCTGGGAACTTCGAACTAAAACTTGGTAACTACATCCCGTTAGTGTGCCTGTATGCCAAGTTTCATCATGTTACGTCAATTATGAAGAAAGTTATACCCATAAATAAAATCGCTGCCCATGATCTGATTGTAGCTCTGACCGCAGCTCTTGTTGTTGTTGCTGCTTTGGTTCAACTTTGTGCTGCATACATACACGCATATAAACACGCACAGACACTGTACATGAACATGTCTCAATTTTTGTATATATGTATCGAATAATTTGTATTTAATTTAATAAATTATTTAATATAATTTTTTTTTAATTAATTTAAAATTTTTTTTGCTTTTTGGTGGGAGGTACAGGGTATTTCAGAGTTGAGCCTGATCGACTTTAGCATTCCTTTCTTGTTTTCTTTTAAGTATTTTGTACATGTTTTCAGTGGAATATTCTTCCATCCATGATAAACCATAAAGTCGAGTATTTCATAGAAAATAATTATAGGTGCAAAACGACTTAGCTGTTTTATTTCTGTGTTAAAGTGAACAAATAATTTTAATTTCTTTTTCAAGTATAACTATAGTAAAAAAGTGAGTAAAGGATTGCGTAAAGTTAAGAAAATCTAGAGTTTATTAACATTAGTTATTTTAATAGTAAGAAATGCCACATAGAACGAAATTTTCGGATACGGACAGTGAGCGATGCTGGTATAAAAATTGACCAAATAGCTTCTGCCATAAATCAGCATCACAATGCAGTAGCAAACTTTTCAAAAAGATTGAGATAATTATGGCGTTCCGCAGCCAAGCGGTCAAATTGCGATCGTAGATGAGCGGACTAAAGGGCACATCCGTCACAATAGCATGAGCTGTAGGAAAATAAAGGTGGAATTAGAGCTGACTATCACTAGACAACGTGTGCAGCAAATAATGAAGCACCACCTTGGCTTTGATTATGTCGAAAAGCTCACCAAACCTCGGCTATAGCAACGGAACAAAGATGCACGTATAGCATATATATGTATAGCGCTATACCGAGCACACCCAGGGCGGGTATCATCAGAGCCGTAGGTTCCAGACCAGATCCTCCGTATTTTCCAACTGTGCAATCCGCAACTAAAGACGGACGACTCGTGTGTGGTCAAGGTAGAGCAGACAGCGGGGCCCACACGTCAAGTCGTCCTGGTCATAAATAAAGGCGGAAGAGCTGAGCAAGAATGGCGGTCTGGTGAACTACGGTTACAAGACGGTAATCGTACGAGTCTACCGCGGTGACGGGTTAACCCTTATAGATAGGTTCACCACAGCTTGCGAAACCGTGCAACAAAAATAATGCCCCATCGGCAAGCCGAGGTGAAAACTGAAGCCTCCCTGTTGGACTCCCTAAGAATAAAGGCCAGGACTCTCTTTAATGCAGCCAGATCCCAAAGAGGTAAACAACACTGGCTCGCATACAAAACCAACCCGTCAGAGTACAAGAAAATACTCAGGCAGGCGAAGCGATCCTCCTGGCAAAAATTTTGCTCGGATATCGAAAGCACCTCCGATGCCGCACGGCTACGAAATGTGCTTTCAAAAACTCCCACCCCATTAGGATATCTACAAAAGCAGGACAAGTCATGGACAACCTAAAGGGAAGAGTCACTTCAGCTGCTTCTGAATAACCACGTTCCCGGTTGCGCAAGCACAAAACCAACCAGTAACCCGACAAGCACAGGGATGAACTCAAGTACCTCTGGAATTGCTATCTCACAGCAACATCAGATGGGCTATAAGAAGTTTCAAACCACACAAATCGGCAGGGTCGGACAATATTATTCCGACTCAGCCCGTTCACACAGGGGATACCACCGTCCACTGGCTGGCAGATATCTTCCGTAAAATTATCTCCACCGGAATCATGGCTAAGATCAAAAGTGGTCTTTATGCCCAAAGGGGGTAAAGCCTCTTATACAACTCCAAAAGACTATAGACCTATAAGTCTCTCGTCCTTCCTAAAGAAGACGCTAGAGAGA